TATATCACATTCTAAGGTACATGATATCTGGTGTCCCAGTTTTAGAGATGCTAAGATTGATAAGTGGATGCAGGTGGTGTCAGCCTGATTCTTCCATTATAAAATTCCTTTTCCTACCTGTATTAGTCAGGGTTCTCCAGAGAAACAGAACCATTGTACAGACACATGATAGATGATAGCTAGCTAGCTAGCTAGCTAGCTAGATATTTATTTATTATAAGGAACTGGCTCACATGATTACAGAGGCTGAAAAGTTCTAAGATCTACATTCAACAAGTTGGAGACCCAGGAGAGGCTAATGGTGCAGTTCCTGTCTGTGTCCAAGTCCTGTCTGAAAGACCCAAGAGCCAAAGCTGCAGTTCGAGTCTGAAGGCAGGAAAAGAACAATGTCTCAGCTCAAGACAGTAAGGCAGGAGAAGCTCCCTCTTACTTGCAGAAGAGTCATCTTTTTGTTCTACTCAGACCTTCAACTGTTTGGATGAGGCCCGTCTCCATCAGGAAGGGCAGTCTACTTAGTCTACTGATTGAAATGTTAATCCCATCCAGAAATGTCCTCACAGATACACCCAGAATAATGTTTAACCAAATATCTAGGCACCCTGTGGCCCAGTCAAGTTGACACATACTATTAACCATCACATTACCTTTTATCTAATACACTTAGTAGCCACTAATGATTATTGCGTATATTGCGTATATAAATCACCTCATCAGATATTCAAAATAGTGATTTTTAATGCCAATATTCCGTCTGAAATTCTGTCAGTACGACCTTTCTCTCATAGATTATTTGATTACCCTGAAATGTAGTGTGTACAGAAAGGATATGATAAATGTGTCCTTTTTGATGACTTAGTTTTCTAGTAATTAACACTGATTTAACCCCAAACTCTTTGTCAGGTGTCTGAATCATTTTCAGTATGGTCATTCCCATCAGATGTTCTATCAATTTCTTTTTCTTAACAAAGCTCTCCAGGGGTCTTCCAACCTCTTGGGGAACTTTCTGACTGATGTTCCCCTAGATCTGGTACATGGCAGTCATCCTGGGATATCCCTTCACCATCACTCTCCAGTATTTCTTTGAGAGAGGGTGTATGATAATTCCAATTACTAGGTTGGAAATGCTTTTCTTTTGGAGCTCTGAAGGTATTGTTCCATTTTTCTTCTAGCTGTTGGTGTTTTTCCTGATATTTTCATTTTTCCTCCTGGTTCTTTGTGAGCTCTCCTTCTTCTCTTTGGAAGCTTGTAGGATTTCCAAACAAATTCAGAACACTGGGCAACAGTATTCCAAAATTTCCTAACATTATGCTTTGTGCGTTCACCTTTTATCTGTTGAGCTGGATATTCAGGGAAGAACTCAAGTTCTTCAGTTCTAGGAAATTTTGTTGAATAATTTCCTTGGTCACTTCCTCCTGTGAGTTTTATCTTTCTAGAACTACTAATATTTGGATGTTGGATTCCCAGACCTGAAAAAAGTTTCCTATTTCTCACCTTTTTGGATTTGCTTCCTGGGAGATAACTTCACCATTTTTCCACTCCTGCTATATTGCCTTTAGTTTCCAAGAGACTCATTTTGTTTTTTAAATACTTATGGCATTGCTATTTCACTGATAAATCTTTCAGTATGTGTTTCTAATATTACTCCTTTAAAAAAATGTAGCAATGGTATTATCACATCAAAAACAGTAAGTCTTTAATATCCAGAATCCATAGACTCTTCAAATTTCCCCTATTGCCATCCATTTTTATTTTTTTAATTTTGGTATCATTAATCTACAATTACATGAGGAACATTATGTTTACTAGACTCCCCCCA